TCTCTAACGTAGGACAACCAACTCACAAACAATAGCTGATATTTTGTTTCCTTTTGTTCTTTTGAGACAAGGTCTTGCTATGTAGCCTAGGCTGGCCTCTTGCTAATCCTGTTTCAGCATCAGAGTGCTGAGTTACAGGCATGTCCTATAGAACAATTAGTTCTGTTTTCATTCCAAATCCACAAACTACACTTTCATGTATACACATTCCCCCCCACAAAAAAAAGCCCTACTCCAAAGGTTACTATAGAGTCATAGGACCTGTCATAACACTTGGGAAGGACAGGGAGAAAAACCAGGTGTTCCAGGGCATCTTCAGCTACATAAGACTTTGGCACCAGATTGGTCTACAAGAGACCCCATTACACACAAAAATAATAATAGAGGATTTTTTTTTTAATTTTAAAGCATTACAATAAAGTGCTTCACAAAACCCTGCCTCATATGACAGTTACCTCCCTCCACTTAGTCCACCTATTACCAGATCCTGAGTCACCCCAGCTTCTCCTTACGTTTTATGTGCCCCTCCACTGCCCAGGATACCATCCCCCAGCTACTCACTCAGTTACCATGTTCTGTCACTCTTAAATCAGGGACAGAAAAGGTCAAATGAACAAAGACAACCTATATGAGACACATGAACAGCAGGAAAACAACAAACTGGAGAACACATACTCTACTTTATTTATGATTTTTGGAGGTTTTTCCATTTTGTTCTTATTGTTTGAGACTATGTTTCACAGTGGCCAGGATGGCCTGAAACTTGCTATGTTCCTGAAGCTGCCCTTGATCTCAGAAGCTTGTGCCTCTTTAATCAGTCATATATCCCTTCCCTTTTCTTAGACAGGGTCTTACTATGTATCCTTGGTTGGCCCGGAACTCACTCTGTAGACCAGGCTGGCCTCTAACTCACAGGAAACCACCTGCTTCTGCCTCTCTGGGACTGGGATTACAAGTGTGTTCAATCACACCAAGCCATACACCTTTTAAAAAGAAGTTAAGCAGTGAGCCTGAACTAAAAGAGGAACTTCAAGGACAGTGTTGCCCAATATTCTGATTTTTCAAGAGCATCTGGAAATCAGAACTTTTATGAGAAAGATTAATTTTTAAGACAAAGAAAGGACCAAATTAAATGTATTTTCTGGATAAGTCCAGTATGCGCTTTCCAGTTGTAACCTCTTTTTAGAATCCCCTCGCCCTTACTAGGTGTGGCAGCTTATGCCTGCAGCCCCAGAACTACACAGGCTGAGGCAGGAAGATCAGTGGTTAGAGGTTAGCTGGCCTACAGATCAAAACTGTCTTGAAGAAAAACAGGGGAAAGGAAGAAGGGTGTTTGCTTTCTTGGGGGACATGGTGGTACAGGCCTGTCAGCTCAGCATTATGGATACCAAGGCAGAGATCATGAGTTTAAGGCACACTGAGACACAGACAATCTTTATTCCCTCACCTCTGTCCCCCCTGCCATAATACTCAGGCCACCAACATCTCCTAGGTTTGGATTTACTCACTGGCATCAGAATCACTTGGTGGAGGGTAATCACCACCCCTCCACACACCAAGTGATTCTGATGCCAATAAATGTGAGCCACAATCACTAACCCACAGAACAAAATTACCCCCACTCTGTTCCTTGCCCGTTTCACCTGCCACACCACCACTATACTCAAACACCTTATTTTGTGGTTCTCAGAGAAACCTCTTGGGCCCATCTCACATCTCATGGCTCCCTTCTGAGAGGATCCCTTTTCCCATCTGCATTCTTACTCAGTTTTCATCTGTCTAGATTGGCCTTGCCTCATTTCCATCACCTCAGAAGTCTTCCTCAGATCTAACATCCACTCTCACCTCTATCAGTGTGTGCTGCCTCCTGTCTGCTTCCACAGCACCTAGAACTTATGATCTGTATCCACTGTTTATAAAGATTTGTTTACCCATCCCTACGCCACCCCACTGGGCTCTCTGAAGTCAGGAATTTCAACTTAGCCTAATTTTGCAACCCCAGTGCTATGCCTGATGAGCAGATCTTCCATAAATGCTTGCCGAATAAATAAAATGACAGGGTATGGTCCAGTAAGACCAAAGGCCAATTTGGATTCTGGTTCTCTGACTTTGCTATCAAAATGCAAATACAGTTTGTCTTTACAACTTCTTAATTATAAAAGCAATAAATTCACAATAACTACAGTCCCTGTATCAAGTTGTTGTCATCAGTAACGTTAATTAAACCCCAACAGCAGGAACCAATTCCTGAAATTCTACTCTTGAAACTAAACAAGGTATTTAGCTCATTCCCCCTCTAAAGCAAAAGGATACAATGAGACACTAGATGCAACACTATAAATTAAAACTGTGCCTTCCCCAGGTCTGACTAAGCACACTACAACAGTTTAACCCATAAAAGTAGAGTCCCTCAACAGTAAGTATCTGTCTAGTATGAACAAGAGGAAAGGTGGGGGGAAGAAACCAGTGAGTAGAGGAAAGGATGATAAAACCCATGAAGGCAGAATACTTTAACACAACTGTCTGAGGTTGCTATAAGCAATGGAGCAGAACAATAGCACTTCTAAATTGGTACCTTCACATTCAAAGTGAAAATTCAAAAGTCTTCCAGGGGTCACATGCACAGTTACTTTTACATACTTAAAATTTCCATTTCTATTCCTTCAGTTTTTACTGGGCATCTCTTTGGCTCAGGATGCTGTGGAGACATTGATTATGTTGAACATAACTGCTATCAGCCCCGCCCAACTAGAGTTCCTGTCCTAACACAGAAGACAGACATTCAACTAATTAAAAAACTAACTATTGAACAGGACTGTGTTAGACACTCCACCAGAAGATATGAGTATTAAAGAGAGTCTATAAAGCCGAGTCCACACCAGGCTTTCTTCTGTACTGAAAATCACCCTCTTCTTGCTACAGAAACCTAACTAGCTCTCCGTGTGTCCCCCTCTCGGCAGCAACTGCTCTGTGAAGAGCCAGGTTTCCACTTGCAGCTCTCAGATCTCCTCTAGGGCCAATGAAGAAATTCAACTGGTTCAAAAGTAATTTTTCCACCAGCTCTTCTAGGAGTTATCATTTTTTCCTCTATATCTTTGCTGGGTTATAGAAGGTCTTTTAAGAGTGCTGATTGCACATCTGGGGGTGGTTTAATCCAAGAAGCTGTAAAGCAAGTGCTCTCTGAAGACCACACAGTGAGAAGGCAATTAAAAAAATAGATCTCTGTGTTCAACTCACGTGCCAACAAAAATGACCACACAGATTTTTCTTTCCTTTGGACACCTCTAATTCATTCTTTTAAAATGAACATGGTATATGCTATTAACTCCTACTAGAAAAATGCTAAGGCAATAAATTTGTATTTGATTTTGGGTGTGTTTCCCCCACCCCACCCCCAAAAGACTCACTGTAACTAAAATGACAACATCAACAAACTATTTCTGTGAAAGAATGCTAGAGCACTTGCAAAATTGACCTTTGTTTTCCAGGATGATAGGAAGCATGCTGTCAGATACAGGAACTGAATCAGATAAGGGAGGAGAGGATCTCCACAGAAAACCACATTGAAATGTCTGCTAAAAGACTCCAGTCCAGCAGAAAATATAAACCTAGAGAAGGCTGTAAGGAAAACAAGACTCACTAAATAAATACTACTGCTATTATATATATATACCGTGCTCTGAACGTCTGGCTCTGGTAGGAAAAAATGTTTTAGCCGTCAATCTTTACAGAGTGCAGCATAGATATTAAATTGGGGGGGGGGGGCGCTGACCACACATAGTAATAGGCTTCTGAAATACAAGTTACAAGGCCCTGGCCCAAGTTAGCCTCTGGAACTTCTTCCCAGTTATAGTGTTAAGACAAGTCACCACCTCAATTCAGAATAGTAAGGTCCAACGCTGCTTCAAAGAGGGATATAAAGCCCCTTGGGGTTTTTTACATTTCAGTTAAACAAAATTAAGAGTCCCCACCACCACCACCCCCAGATATTCATTCATTGCACAAATGTTTGCTGGATGCCAATTGTGCCGTGTAGCACTATGCTTTGGCCATGCCTCATCATTGGACGTTCTATTCTATTCTACGGGCACATTAATTTCATAAAGTAACAGACTGGCCTGGAAAGGCTTAGCAAAGAGGAAACACTAAAAGCCCATTCATTATTCCAGGCTAAGATGGCTAGATGGCCAGTAGTTCCCTGGTGGGAGTACTAAATCGGGGTAAAAACCATCATTATTTCCTGAGGGCTCATTACATGCCAGAGTCTTTTCAACCATTCACAATCAGCTAGCTAAGCATGACAGAAACTCACACTTGAGCTAACCACCTAAAAGAAAGGCAGTGTGGGGTTTGAACGACTCGCCCAAAGCCAAATAGAAACTTGACTTTGACATCGGGTTTCTATGTACTCGAAAGCCCGCGCGCTCTTTGCACTGCATAGTTCCTTCTAGTGCACAATGTCTCAAACAGCAGCGCCACGAGCCACAGTGGAAGACTCTTTCCAGGGGCAGGGTGGAGCGCATCTGCATCAAGGCCTGGAGAAGTCACTTCCCCTCCCTTAGCATCCTTCGCAGGACCATTCCGATCTCTGAAGTTGTAAGCACTGACAGGCAAATGAGAAGTTCATTCAAACGAAGACCAATAGAAGGACACAGAGGGAACGGTACCTCTCTAGAAGAGGCCGAAAAGGCACAGCAGTGACAAGTAATAAGGAAAAGGAGAGAAAGGAATTCTCTCTCTCTCTCTCTGGGTGCTCTAATCTAAGGAAAAGGTAGTCTCCCGCGGGGTGCGGGGACCCGGCGGCGGGCCTAGGATGATCCCACGCTCCCCGACCGCGAGCTCCACTAGGATCCCCGCAACAACGCCCGCCGGCGCGCCACGCGGCAGGCACAAGGTGACACGGACCGCGCCGGCCCCTCAGCCGCCAGGGCGCGGCCGGGGCGAGCGGGAGAGGGGTGGCCGTCCGTCCGTCCGTCCGTCCGTCCGCCCGCCCGCTCTACCTTGTACTTGTCAAATCCGGCCAGCTGCTCCGGGCTCACGTATTCGTATCCAGCCATGACGACCCGAAAACCCAGCGCCCACTCCGCAGTGGCAGCGACTCTCTGCGACTGGCAGATGAAACACGAGCAGCACCACGGCACTGTGCAGGGCTGGGAAAGCCTGGGCTGGTAAAGAAGGTAAAGGCGCGCTCCGCCCACCGCGCACGCGTAGCCGACTCAGCGCGCAAGCGCAGCCCCCCCGCGGATCCCGCCCACTCGGATAGGGACACCGCCCTTCGCACGGCCCGCCCCTAATGCCGCCTCTATCCAATCGGAACAGACTGATCACCGGTAAGTCCCGCCCTCTCGCTGTCTTCGGCGATTCATTTGCTAGAGTCAAAGTAGGTGAAGAGGAGAGGTGAAAGGTCAACTTCCCGGCAGCCTTTGCTCTTGTCTCTGGTGTAGGACCCTCGAGGGTGACTGTGTGGGATTCCCTTGTAATCTTGTGGCCCGGGTGAGTGTGTACGCGCGAATTCGGGAGGAAGGGCGGAGCCAGGTGCCTGCCGCGGCGGGCTGCGAGTTCCTGGAGCCTCGGGAGCCTGAATTGATGATGCCGGGCGATCGGGAGACTGGGAGCGGTCCAATAAAGGGACTTGAAAAGCCATCGGAGTCTGCCCGCCTCTGATCGGTGTTGCTTGTGAACCTTGGACTGCCCCGTCATATTACACTGGTTCAATACGGTGCGAATTCCAATTGCTTAAATCTCGATCGCCCATGAAACCATTGATTTCTCAGTCTTGTCGGGGCCTTAACTGTGTTGCAAGGGGTGTTTTTACACAGCCAGAGATCCCAGTGCTTTGTAGAAAGAACAAGTCACTACTGGTTACTATGTGTCTAATCATAGGAAATGTTTAATAACGATTGCTACTTTTTAGTTGAGTGTTCTAACTGCCAAGAGCTTTGCATACATTATTGCCAACCCATTGAGATGGGAGGTATTTTCCCCATTTCCCCTAGCACAAACCCAGGAGTTGTGTGACTTAAGTACCAGAAAAAAGAAATTTAGATTACATTACCTCCCCAGAGACAATTTATTTGGTGGGAAATGGTCAACCCGATTAGAAATACAGACTTATTAAAATCACTATCTCAGTCTCCCTACTTCCTGGAATAAGGGCAATTAATTTGAAATCTCCTTTTATGTCCCTTAGAGTCATTCACTTAACAAATACTTACTATGACCTAAAATATGCTGAGCCCAGTTTTTGGCTGTATGCTCCCTTCCAAAGGCAAGGAGGTGCGTATGAGTGGGGTTGTCGTTTTTTGAGTCAGGGTCTCATACTGTAGTCCCAGCTAGCCTGAAACTCATACAGCCCAGACTAACCTCAACTATTACCTCAGTCTCTTAAGTGTTAGGATTGTAGGTGTGAGCCACAACACCCAATTCTAAAGTATACAATTTTTAATGAGATGATACATATAAAGTATGTGTTAAACCAAGATAAAAGCTTTGCCATGTATTTCTTCTAGTCAATATAAATAAGAAAAAAGAAAAGGATCTTGCCATCAAATGTTTTAATATAAGCCTTGTACTATTCCATCAGAAATACAAACACCATACTTAACATTTTAATTACTTGTGGAAAACCATTTAAAAGTAACATGATAGGGCTGGAGAGATGGCTCAATATTTAAAGCACTGGCTGTTCTTCCAGAGGACCCAAGTTCAATTCCTAATGCCCACATGGTGGCTCAACCATCTGTAGCTCCGTTTCCAGCAGATCTGATGCCCCCTTCTGGCCTCCAAGGGCACTGCATGCACATGGTGTATGCATACAGGCGAACACCTCATATACATAAAATAAAAATTAATTTTTAGCCAGGTGGTAGTGGCACAGGCCTTTAATCCCAGCACTCAGGAGGCAGAGGTAGGTGGATCTCTGTGAGTTCAAGGCCAACCTGGTCTACAGAGCGAGTTCCAGGACAGGATCCAAAGCTATAGGGAAACCCTATCTGGAAAAAAAAAAAAAAAAAACAAAAAAAGAATTAATTTTTTTTTAAAAGTGACTTGGTATAAGCTAATAATAGTACATAAACTCCATTTGTTAGTTTCTTCATATGGAAGCAAATTCAATGTGGCTTTATTTGGTTTTTTGAGATAGGGTTTCTGTGTGTAATAGCTCTGGCTATCCTGGAACTTGCTCTGTAGACCAGGCTGGCCTCGGACTCAGAGATCCTCCTGTCGTTGACTTCTGAGTGAATTAAAGTTGTATGCCTCCACCACCTGGCTTGCTTGCTTGCTTGCTTTCTTTCCTTCCTTCCTTCCTTCCTTCCTTCCTTCCTTCCTTCCTTCCTTCAATATTTTCCCCCAGAGCAGAGTGTGATGATGTACACTTATAGTCCCAGCTTGCTGGGAAACTGAGGCAGGTGGACCACTTTACCCAAAGTTGACCTTACACTCATGATCCTCCTGCCTCAAAAATAATTTAGTAAATATGCTTTAAAAGGAAACTTTGAATTTTTTAAAAACTTTTTTGTTATCTCCAATTATGTGTATGGTATGAATAAGTGAGTATAGTTGCCTGAGGAGGCCAGAGGCATCCAGTCTTCCTGAGCTGGAGTTACAGGTAGTTGTGAGCTTCAGGACATGGTCTTCTGTGTGGCAGTAAGTGCTCATAACTATTGAGCTATCTCTCCATTCCCACAGCTTTTAATTTTGTAAAGGAAGCAGTTGTAGTTTGCTGCCTCTGCTTTGACTTAGAATCAATTATAACTCCTGAGAGCATCTTAAACAAAAACAATATAGAAGTTTGTCTACATCATGTTATCTGAGGAAACCTCAACAATTCAGTTTTCCCTTGCCCCAGTTTCTATTTTATTTTCTTTTTTAATAATGTATTTATTTGTTGGGGGTATTGATTGTGGGGAAGTTAGAGGACAACTTTCCACAGCTGGGTTGGATCCTGGGAATCTAAGAGTGTCAGGCTTGGCAGCAAGCATCTTTATCCTCTGAGCCATCTTGTTAGACTAACGCTAACTTACTCTCTGAAATCCAATGGAACTAAATCATTTAACTTTGCAGATGAAACCAGCTCATCTGGAGGAAGATGCCTTCCCTTCAGTTATTGCGCAGATCATGTGAAATGATGTGGCTTAATGTGGTTAAATTAAAACCAGGCAAGCATAAGATAGGACTTCCTGAGGCATATGAATCATAGGAGTGGGTCAGCTTCCCATAGACTTCGTCAATGCTAGAAAGAGAAAAGTTGCTTTGGAATTGAACCACTCTCCTGTGTCCTCTTTTCTGAATCGCACTCAAGGAGACTTTTATGCTCAGAGTGACCAGGGACAGTCTTATATTGACCTGGCTGTTCCCCTCTGTATCTCTTCCCAGTATGCCGCAAAGGTGAGTGCTTTATTGTTGCCTTGCTTCCTTTGTCTGCCACCTCATCCGTTGAGCTTTACTTCTGTGTTCCCCCCCACCCCCCTCTACCAGTATGGAGGCTGAACCTAGCTAGGGTCTTCCTCCCACTGGGCGAACATCTGCATCTCAAACCACATATTACCCTCACAAATGTTAGAAAATATCAATTCATGCTTTTAAAAAATGTTATCTTTGTAACATAACATGAAAAGAACCTAATTCTTGTAGATTCTGTTTTATTTAGTCAGAAGGAAGAATGTGTCAGGTAAGTGACAATAGCTAGTAAGTTAAAGGACTAATATAATTAATAACACCAATAAGAGTTATTGAAGTCATAAAAATGAACAAAATCTTTCCATGGAAGTTTGTAAAAGATGTAATAGATTTATTCTCATTTTTAAATAAAAATTAAGCCACATGTTGTGGCTCATTCCTGCAATTCCAGCATTTGGAAAACCAACACAGAAAGAATTGCTGTAAGTTTGAGGCCAGCGTGAGTTACAATATGAGACCTTGTTTAAAATATATATATATATATATATATATATATATATATATATGCTCTCCTGCTTTCAGTTGGCCACCAGCTACCCCCCTCCTCTTCTCCTCTCTTTCCCTCTCTCCTCTTCTGTTACCAGTGCCTCTGTGTCTCTTCCCTTCTCCCTCACTCCCCTTTCTAAATAAACTCCTCATTTAAACTCTTAAAAATTAAAAAAAAATAAAAAAAATTAGAATTTAAATAAGTGAAATAAAATTAGGGCCTGAGGTATAATTCAGTGTTCCATGAGTGTTTCATATGCATGAAGCTCTGGGTTTAATATTAACCCACACAAAAACAATACACTAATAAAAAGTAATGGTTCATAAGTTTTACAGTCCTTGGCTGGGTTATAGCACTTAGCCTCAAGTGCAAGAGATTCTGGGTTCAGTCTGGTACCTTAACACACACCACCATCATCAATTCTCAGAGCAATTGAGCATCACTTGTTCACCCTAACAACTCTGAAACAAGCCAGAGTTGTTCCAATTGAACAGAACAAAAGAAAACTCATATATTTGCCTCCAAATTATTCAATTTGTAGTAAATTATTCAAATTGAGTTGAGTAATTTTTCCACTGGACCATACAGGTTACCATGATAAGGTGTTAGAAAAAAAAATAATATGTCTAGTTGTTTTGCAGTGATAGACATCAAACCTAGGGCCTCGCACATTGTTATTACTCTACCACTGAGTAACATTGCCAAACCTTGTAAGCCAGCTTCTAATCAAGGCAAAGGCATGCAGAAGAGGAGACTAGGAAAGAGTCAAACAGACATTAAGTTCTTCATTGTTTCTTAAAAATGAGATTTGGTGGCACACACCTTTAATGCCAGCACTCAAGAAACAGAAGTAGGTGAATACCTGAGTTTGAGGCAAGTCTAGTCTACATAGTGAGTTCCAGGACAACCCTGTTTTGGGGAGAAAAAAAAATTCTTGGCTGTAATAATAGGATTTTGCCTACTTGTATTTTACCGCTTTACTTTTAGTTTTCAATAATCCTCCTACATAAAAATGTATAGGAAACCCTGAGTGGTTTATACCCCTATTCCATAGTATGTGAGGGTACACCAAGAGTTGACATCGGCTAGCACCTGGTACTTACTTTTCATGATGGTGGAGGAGGACCGTAACTACGGTTCTCATACTGGCTTCCCAATGATGTTAGGGCCAGTTTTGTTTTCCCAGACACTTAACCAGTACTATGACCAATCATTTGAATAAAGGCAGGCAATATTCAG